GTTCATGACAGGGGTGGCGCCGCAACCTCCCCATCGGCCCTGCCCTGAGTGTGACAGGGGGCGGTGCCCCAATCCCCCAATTGGCCCTACCCTGAGCGTGACTGAGGGTGGCCTCACAACCTTCCAATCGCCCTGCTCTGTGCATGACAGGGGGCAGCGCACCAACTCCCCAATAAGCCCTGCTCTGAGCCCGATCAGGGGCTGCACCTAGGGATTGGGCCTGCCCTCTGTCACCCGGGAGCAGGCCTAAGCCAGCAGGTCGTTATCTCCCAAGGGGTCCCAGACTGCGAGAGGGCACAGGCCGGGCTGAGGGAGGCCCCTCCCCTCCGAGTGCACAAATTTTTGTGCACCGGGCCTCTAGTGAGGTATAAAAAGGAATGATGGCCCCACTTTATAAAACTGAAGGCAATCTGTACAGTAATTTTCCTGAATCCAAGGCTCAGATTAGGTTGAAATAGAAAGTCCTTTCCCTCAATTTTATTGAGGTATAACTGGCATTTAATAAACTGCACATATAAAATTGTACAATATGAGAAGTCTTGACATATGTATTATACACCTGTGAAACCAGCACTATAATCATGAAAATGAACATATCTATCACACCAAAAAGTTTCCTCCTGCCTATCTCGTTTTCATTCTACTCCCCATCTCCAAACAACCACTGATGTCCTTTTTGTCACTCTAGTTTGGATTTTTTAGAATCTTGTATCAGTGGAATCACACAGTATATATTTGGGGAGTGGGAGAGCCTGGTTTCTTTCACTCAGATAATTATTTTGAGATTCACCCATTTTGTTGAGAATATCAATCGTTCATTCCTCCTTATTTCTGAGTAGTATTCCACTGTGTGAATATACCACAATTTGTTTTCCATTCACCTGTTGATGGACATTTTGATTGTTTACACTTTGGGCCTATTATAAATAATGCTACTATGACTGTTCATGTACAGACTTTGTGGGCAAATTCCTATGAGTGGAATGAATGGCTAGATCATATGGTGGGTATATGTTTAGTTTTTTAAAAAATGGCCAATCTGTTTTCCAAAATAGTTGTTTCCTTTTATATTCCTAACAGGCTGTATATGAGAATCCAGCTGTTTCACATCCTTGTCAGCACTTCTTATGATCAGTCTTTTTTTTAAAATATATTTTTATTAATTTCAGAGAGGGAGAGGGAATGGGAGAGAAAGCTAGAAACAACAATAATGAGAGAGAATATTGATCGGTTGCCTCCTGCACACTCCACACTGGGGATTGAGCCCACAATCTGGGCATGTGCCCTGACTGGGAATGAAACCATGAGTTTCATTCGAAGCTCAACCACTGAGCCATGCCAGCGGGGCTACGATCAGTCTTTTAAATTTCAGCCATTCTAGTAACTAGGGTGTTCAGTGATATCTCATTGTACCTCTAATTTTCATTTCCCTAATGAATAATGATGTTGAGTATCTTTTCATGTGCTTAGTTTTTCATCTATTTATCTACTTTGATGAAGTGTCTTCAAATCAGGCAGTATAAGTCCCTCAACTTTCGTTTTCTCGATCAAAGTTTTGGCAACTCTAAGTCCTTTGAATTTCCATATAAATTTAGAATTAGCTTAGTAATTTCCACAAAAAGAACCTATGATTTTTATTGAACTTGCCTTTAAAGCTATAGATCAAATCAGAGATAAATCACATCTTAAAAATACAGAATCTTCTGACCCATGAACATGCTGTATCTCTGTATTTAGATCATTAACTTCTCTCACAATGTTTTGTAATTTTCAGTTTATATGTCTTTCACCTCTTTGGCCAAATTTATTCCTAAGTATTTTATTTTATTTTTGCTGCTGAATGGCATTTTTAAAATTTCAATGTCCAATTGTTCCAAAATATATAAAGAACTCCTATAACTCAATGCTCATGCTCACTGCAGCATCCTATGTGATAAAAGGCTAATATGCAAATCGACTGAACGGCAGAACTACCGGTCACTATGACACACACTGACCACCAGGGGGCAGACGCTCAACGCAGGAGCTGCCCCCTGGTGATTAGTGCACTCCCACAGGGAGAGCGCCGCTCAGCCAGAAGCCAGGCTCTCGGCTGGCAAGAGCAGCGGAGGTGGCAGGAGCCTCTCCCACCTCCGCAGCAGCACTAAGGATGTCCACAGACAACAACAGAACCCAAATAGCTTGATTAAAAAATGGGCAAATGACTTTTTCTTTTCCCATTCATCTATTGATGGACATTTAGGTTGTTTCCACCTCTTGGATATTATAAATAACTAGAGACCCAGTGTATTAAATTTGTGTACTCGTGGGGGGGGGTCCCCTCAGCCCAGCCTGTACCCCCTTGCAATCCGGGAGCCCTTGGGGATGTCCCACTGATGGCTTAGGCCCACTTCCTGCAGCTGGCAGTCGGACATCCTTAGAGCTGCTGTTGAGGCGGGAGAGGCTCCTGCCACCGCCGCTGTGCTCCCAAGCCAAGATCTCAGCTTTTGGCTGGGCAGCGCTCTCCCTGTGGGAGCACACTGACTACTAGGGGGCATCTCCTGCGTTGAGTGTCTGCCCCCTGGTGGTCAGGGCATGTCATAGTGACCAGTCATTCCGCCATTTGGTCGATTTGCATATTAGCCTTTTATCATATAGGATGCTGCAGTGAACATGGGGTTGCAAATATTTCTTCGAAGTTTAACTGCTTTCACACATGATGGATCTTAGTTTTTGCGGCATTCAAATGTTCATCAAGCGTTCAAATACTGAACAACTATTGCATGCCAGGTTCTCTGCGGGCCATTAGGAAGAGAATCCTCAGTATGCTTTAAATGAGGTATAAAAAAGGAGTACAGCCCTAGCTGCTTTGGTCAAGTGGATTCAGCATCAGCCTTCAGACTGCAGGGTCCCAGGTTTCATTCCTGTCAAGGGCACATGCCTGAGTTGCAGGCTCAATCCCCAGTGTGGGGCCTGTAGGAGGCAGCCGATGAATGATTCTCTCTCATTATTGATGTTTCTCTCTCTCTCTCCCTCTCCCTTTCTCTCTGAAATCAATAAAAATATATTTAAAAAAGAAAAGTACACAGACAGACGTGGACCTGGTCCTGCTACAGTCTTATCATCTCGCTGAGGTATTTTAGAACAAGAGTTAAAAGCATAGGCTCAGGGTTCGATTAGCTTGGGTTTGAATCTGGCTCTGCTCCTGACCTGGAGATTGACCTTGGAAAACTTCATTAACTTTCCTAAGCCTATTTCTTCATCTGTAAAATGAAGATATTAATGATAGATACCTCATAAGATTGCTGTGAGGATTAGGTGAATTAATACCTTTAAAGTCCTTGTAACAGGGCTTGGCACGTGGTAAATGGTCAATAAATGTGAGCTATTTATTATCAGAGGGCAGGATTAGATCCTCACAGGGTAAATCCACAGATGATTGGGAAGGACAGGTGTGGAAACATTAACAAGCTTGAGTAGTAGTTTCGTTTAGCTGCTAAGCATACCTCGGTTAAAACCTTGCTCTGCTGTTTACTGGCCGAGTGCTTGGAGCAATGCCCGTAGGTGTTTAGTATCGTTCTTGGCACACGGGATACTTAATGGACCACATTTATTGACTATGTATGTTCTGAAAAGCCGTAACATCGCCAACACCTGTTCATAATAGTAAGAGCTGCCATCTATCACCGCCCACATGTTCTCTTTTATGTTTCTTAGTCTAGTGAGGCAAACATATTCAACCCCGCTTCGTGGTAAGGAACGAGATCATCTCTGTGTAACTATGATCAGTGGGCGGTTGGAGGCCTCCTAAGTGGTGGCTGGGAATCCAACCCCTGACCAAACAGGGGCTCGCGGTGGCCTCTGTCACCAGGGGGCCCTCCGCCCCTCGCCCATGGCGCCGGGAGAGGCAGCAGCCGGCCAGGCCGTACCCATGGCCGCCCCACGGAGCCCCTACCTCCAGGAGCCTGCCCGGCGAGGCCTCCACTTGGGCACGGCCCCCGCCTGGGTCTTCCCTCTCAGGTCCCCAGGAGCAGCAGACCACGTGAGCCAAGGCGCAGCTCTGGGGAAGGACGGGCGCTGTCTCCAGGCAACGCGCTTGACGTCACTGAGGTGCGACAGTCGCGCGCCTCGCCGTCGCCGCCGCCGCCCCTGC